CATGGCAATTAGTGCTATGATTTAGTGAGAGTGGTGGTGCTACTTGGTCAAAGATTGGGTTCTGTGATCTTGGAGGCTTTTTCCAACCATAATGATTCTATGACTCTGTGAAGCATCTCAGCTTTTTTTTCATAGGAGGGGTGTTCCAGTTCTTATCCCTCATTTGGAACCACTCTAGCTGGTCCAGGGCTTTCTTGTGATAACTAGTGGTAACTTCTTCAAGTGAGAGAAGCCAATATAGAGGAGGGTTGTGTTGGACCTTGTTATCACCAGCAAGGAGGGGCTGATGGGGAATGTGAAGCTCAAGGTCAGCTTTGACTGCAGGGACCATGAAATGGTGGAGTTAGAGATCCTTGGGGCAGCGAGGAGGGGACACAACAAGCTCAGAGCCCTGGTCTCCAGGAGAGCAGACTTCGGACTTTTCAGGGATAACTCAGGAGTGATGCATCCCAGCAAAGAGGAAGTCAGTCAAAAATGCCAGGAGGTGTGCATGGATGAACAAGGAGCTCCTGGATGAACTCAAATGGAAAAAGAAAGCCTACAGAGGGTGGGAGCAGGAACAAGTAGCCTGTGAAGAATATAGAGAAATTGTCCAAACAGTCAAGGAGCAGAGGAAACCTAAGGCTGTGATAGAATTAAATTTGGCCAGGGACACCAAAAACAACAAGAAAAGCTTCTGTAGGAATGGTGGTGATAAAAGGAAGACAGGAAAATTTGGGCCTTCTCTGGAAGAAATGGGGTCATTACCTGGGATCTAGAGAAAGCTGAGGTACTCAATGAGGTTTTTGCCTCTGTGTTAACCAGCAAGTCCTTAAGCCACATCATCCAATTTGCAGAAGGCAAAGTCAGGAACTGGGAGAATGAAGAACGACCCACTGTAGGAGAAGATCAGGTTTGAGACCATTTAAGGAACATAGAGGTGCACAAGTCCATGGGATCTGGTGAGATCCACTTACAGGTCCTGAGGGAACTGACAGAGGAAATGGCTAAGCCACTGTCCATTATACTTAAGAAGTCGTGGCTGAAGTTGCCACTGTAAAAGGAGAAGCAAAGCCAGAGGTGTTTACTATCTCTTTAGCCAGCAGGAGCAGTGGGTTCAGGGGCATCCTCAGCAAGTTTGCCAACAACACCAGACCTCATGTTCTTTGTTGAAAGGGGATGGGTATTCAAATGGCATAGATTTCTACAAGCCCAAATCTTTACCTCAAGATTTCTTTTATTTATGGTACAGATCGACAGGTCAAACTTGGGAAAAAGATATAAGAAACAACTGAGGTCCTGTGCTGGATATGGGTACTTTCTGATTAATTAAAAGATCATCAAGAAAAGAAAGAAAGATTTTTTTGTTAAGCTGCACTGATCTACATAGCAGAAATCACAGCACATCTTATAATACTTGCACAAATTCATGCACAGACTTATTATTCTTTCTTGGAGAATCTCCCACTTCTTTTGCAATTTTAAGTGTCCAGATTGGTATGTCTGCACTAATGCAGGTATGCTTCTCTTCAAGTATCAGAAGTGACCTCACATCTCTCTCTGAGACTTACCTCAGTAGTTCAGCTACACTCCAGCCTCTTATTTCTGTGACAAAATCTTTGTCCCTTATACTATATTGCCCTGTCTATGACTCCCAGGCACCAGCACTACCACTCTATCACAGAGATTGTTCCTCTGCTTTCAGAATCTTACCAGCACATCCGCCAAATGCTTTTTGTAATACTTACTTCCCCCTTAGCGGCTTGCCTAATGTATTCCTCTTAGGCATTTCTTAAAAGATTCACACCATCACAAGGGAAAGATAAAAGCTGACATTCCCATTGTACAGCTGGGATAGCTGCAGCACACACATACCAAGCAATCCATCTCAGGTCGTGCAGTGAGTCGGTGGGAAAGCCAGCAATAGAATCCATAAGTCCTGAATCCAAGTTCTTTAAGTGCTTCGACTAGTCCAGATTCCCTCCTTAACACCCCTGTCACATTATTTATAGGAGATGTATTCATATAGCCACTAAGACATCAAAATTTTCTAATTATATCTAGTCATGTCAAATGACAATTATGCCCTTAGTTCAGTTTGCCAGACAATGCTTAGCCAAAGAGGGTTTGCCAAAATATTTTTGACCGAAGAAAGAGGAGGCATCTGTAGCATCTGCAGGCGAGATCGTATAAAATGTCCCTGCAACACGTCTGCCCTGGCTCCACAGAAAGCTCCAAGGTAAGAGATGGGGTCTGCAGGCTGCCAGGAAGGGATGGCAGCCTAATGTGCCACCACATTCCTGCTGCCTCCGGTGCTCCTGTGCAGGAGGGGACTCCATTACAAATCTGTCTTCAAGGCACCTGCATGTTTTCACTCTTGATTTTTGTGCAGCACAGTTTGGGAACTGCCATTTCTATTTTACAGCATTGACCAGCTGCCAGCCCACAAGCCACACATCTGGTGTTACAAGAGGTAAGAAGCTGATTTACTGATTCTTAGGGACAGAGACAGATCCTTTTGGGTGGTGTGTGTGTGGCTGAGTGAATGTCACTGCTTCACTGCATATTCTTAAGTCCACTGTAGCCACAGTATAAGGTGGTGGGGTGCTGAAGATTGGTATGGTTTTCAAGTGAATTATTGGATCATAAAACAGTCCAGGTTGTAAGGGATCTCATAAGGTCATCTGGTCCACTCTTTAAGGAGCTGTGTTTGAAGTCTCTGACTACTCATGGCAGGCCAGAAAATCCCCATGGGGACATTCTTCTCTTCTGCTTAACTCACCTAATAGGGAGAGGGGTGTACTGCCTTCCCATCGTTACTGATGTACCTGAAATTCAGCATTTTGTCTCAGAATATGCAATACGATATTTTGTCTGAAATTTGTCATGGAATCACTAAAGCAGTAAGAGCTGTAATATAAGAAACTAAGCTCTGATTGTTACCTCTCTAAAAGGCAATGCTGCCCTTTGTTACCTGCTCTGCTTATTCTTTACCTCACAAGAAATGGAAGACTCAGCCCCCCTCCTCTGGAAGCTGTTCCAGAGACAAACAAAGAATTGCCATGTTATGTTTTCTCATTTTAGTACAAATAAATACAAGATTAAATGATATGTAAATATCAGGTACCTAACTCTATATGGAAAGAGATATTTAAATGTTTTCCTAAGCTTCCCAGTGCTTGCTTTTTGGTGTTTTTTTTTTTCCCCTGGGGCGGGGGAAAGAAAAATATATTTCAGATAAATTAATTCAGGCTTTAAAATTCCTTATTTTTAAATACTTCATTAGAGCTTTAAATCTTTGAAGTTTGTTTTTCTCTAAAATTCAACTAATTTATAAAAAACAAAAGAAAGTACTAGAAAAGAAGCTATCTCAGTGTGGTTTGAACAGCATTAATCTTCTTTTAATAGTCAGGTTGCAATTTATGCCTGGATTCAAGCAGTTAATAAAATTAGAGAAAATTGTATTATTAATACAATTATAAAAGATTTCTAAACACTGAAACTGAGCCATTAAGAAGCTAGAGTTTGAAGTTCAGACAGTGGAGTATGAGCATTCTGATCTTTGTGAAAAACTATCAATTGTGAAAAAAGAGCATTAAAATAATTCTATATTAATTTTAAGAGTGCTTAAGCAGTTGAAAGGATTTTGAGGTTCTTAATTCCATAGTACAATGCCTAAATAGTTGAATTCTAAGTATCTAAAGATTGTTTGAATGTGATTTCAGTAAAGGCCAAATAATCTCCCAAAATATAATTTTGACGTTTACCATAAATATTGAATTGAACCAATGCAAAAATTCCTTCCAAAAGGCTACCGGCTGTATTAATATAGTTTCTTTTTTTCCACAACTTCTCTTTCCTTCTAACAAGTGCTTACTTTCTGGCAAATTTGAGCAACATATCTGCTCTTCCACAGTGTTCTCTGCTAACAAGCCCCTCCATAAAGTGCAGCCATGTCTTCGGACGCTGAGATGGCCCGTGAGGAATGACAATTCCTCACGCTTTGTGAGTTGCTTAACAAAATAATTCCTGCAACATAGTAAAGAGGAATTTATGCCAGTCATTCTTTTCTGTTGTTCAGTCATCATGTTTCCAAGAGTAAAACAGAATTTTCTTACCATGGCTTTGCCACTTATACTAAAGATCATTCTCCAGATTTCACAACACAAAAAATTAATTCTGTTTAACATTAAAATGCAAATAAAAATACCATCTCATGTGGTGTTTCTCCTGGAACATATTGTAATGTTAAAAAATAGCTCTGTTTAATTTTACTTACATTTCTATTAATTTTCTAAGAGACAGAATTGCAGGAAAATAAGGAATGAGGCAAGGAGCGAAAGAAAGAAAGAAAGAAAGAAAGAAAGAAAGAAAGAAAGAGAAATTTTCTAATTGAATAATTGAATAATATATTTGCTATATTTCAGATTTAAGTAATCAGGAGTAAAGTTGGTCATTAGATCACAATTCAGTTTTTAGCAGCTCAACTATTTAAATTGATATTTCTTAATCATTAAGGAAACTGCTCTCTGTGTGGAGGATATAGTTAGTCTAATTTGTTGAATGAATTTCACACATTCTTTCTCATTTGTAAACTCAGCATACTTAAAATACAGTTTTGCCACTGCTGATTATTTTCATGGTCAAGAATGAAAAAGATAGCTTTATGTTAGCGGTGGAAATACAGAGATTTTAAGAAAATGTCTCTAAGTAGAAAACTTATGCCAACTTCTTCATTTAATATATACCTTCTATGTTGTAAATCTTAAAACACTCATTCCTTTAAAGGGCAAATTCATCAGAATCCATTTCGGTGCCACAGGAAAACTGGCTTCTGCAGATATTGAAACATGTAAGACATTTCACTGCAGTTCACAATTCATCCATTCCCCCCTCTATCCATACAACATATTTTCACCCCACCATCTATACTGCCTTCCCTGTTTTCTTCCCATCTTCTCTCTTTTTTTTTTTTTCCCTTTTGCTGTTTCTTCTTGTTTCTAACTAAATTTTCCTTCCAGATCTGCTGGAGAAGTCCAGAGTCACTTTCCAGCTCAAGGCGGAAAGGAGCTACCACATCTTTTATCAGATCATGTCCAACAAGAAGCCAGAGCTAATCGGTAGGAAGAATTACTAACTTGGAGGAAGATTGCTGAATATCTGCTCACACTATTACTTGCTTGACTAAACTAAGCCTACATGACCCATCTTATTTTCAGACATGCTCCTCATTACCACCAACCCCTATGACTATCAATTTGTCAGTCAAGGCGAGATCACTGTCGCCAGCATTAACGACCAGGAGGAGCTCATGGCAACAGATGTAAGTAACAATTCAGAGTATTGTAACTATTTGCATCTCTCAGGCAAAGCTTTTTATTTTACTGGTCCTATTTCAGAGTGCCATTGACATCCTGGGTTTCAGTGCTGATGAGAAAACAGCCATCTACAAGCTGACAGGGGCTGTCATGCACTACGGGAACCTGAAGTTCAAGCAGAAACAACGAGAGGAGCAGGCAGAGCCTGATGGCACTGAAGGTATCAGCAAAATCTTTGGCTGACTTGTTAGAAATAGAAGTGGCAATAAGAAATCAGTATTTGGAAGATGGAGTAGAAGTGTCTTTAGGTGAGATGGTACATAGGTATGAAACTCCCATCCAAAATGCACTTGTTCTTCAATTACTGCTCATTATTATCTGCACTACCAACTGCATATATGTCCAAAACTCTCTCCTGAGCTACCATTCTGAGTTAATGTAACTTGCTCAGTGTGCTTAGACCCACTAAGAAAGAAAAGATTTTTTTAAAAAAAATTATTTCTGCTTGATAGTTAAAGAAAATAAAGGCATTATATTCAGTTATAGAACTTCTACTTCATGAATCACTTTTTATGGCAAAACTACTCATGAATTCCAGGAATAATTTTTAATAAGTACATTGTTTCTACATGTTTCTGTGAAGATTTTTAAAGACACAAATAGACTTTAGATGTACTGCTCTGTAAAACATTCAATGCAAAGATGATTTCAATTGAATAATAATGTCAAGGTTCCCCTGAGAACTAGTAAGAAAAATTCGATCACAAGAACGTTAACTATTGCAGCTGTTTTGGGAAGGGTTCATCAAAAGTGCTGCATGTTTGGTAGCCCTAATTTTTCTATCTCCTTTTCCTTGTACTTAGTTGCTGACAAGGCTGCCTACCTGATGGGTCTGAACTCAGCAGACCTGCTCAAGGCCCTCTGCTACCCCCGAGTCAAGGTGGGGAATGAATACGTCACCAAGGGCCAGACTGTGCAGCAGGTAACAACAACCAGATGCTGACTGGGAACCTCTGACTTGAATCACTTACTCTTTGCTCTGGATATTGTATTTATTCTGCTCCATTCTCCTTTGGTTTAGGTGTACAATTCAGTGGGTGCCCTGGCAAAGGCTGTCTATGAGAAGATGTTCCTGTGGATGGTTGTTCGCATCAATGAACAGCTGGACACGAAGCAGCCCAGGCAGTACTTCATTGGTGTTCTGGACATTGCTGGCTTTTAGATCTTTGATGTAAGGATTCCAGGGTTAACAGCTGCTCTTGAAGGGAAGGATTGTTATATCAGAGGACTTGCAAGTAATATTCCTCTGAAAGTTTAACATGCCAGTCATTTGCAATTTTATGCAGAAAAAAAAACTGAGTCATTTTTTCTCTAGCAGAAAACAAAATCCTTAAAAGCTCCATCAGTACAAGCACAGAGTCATATTGTTTGTGCAGATGCAGAAAATAGAATTTTATATGTTGCAATATTACAACTGTTTGAGCTTAATATTAAGGATTAAAACCCAAAATAATTCCAATACATTTATAAAAGAGCTTCTGGAGCAGAGCTAGGAGATGCATTGGCAAATATATAATGAGTTAAATATGTTCAAAATTATTAAACGACCAAGAAATGAATAGTTAGGTGTTTAATCAGAGATATCAAGGGTTTTCAATTTGGAGACAAGAGCATGCACTCACCTTGCTTGCTGAATAAAAAAATGCCAAAGTATTTGATTAATCTTAGGAGATTCACTTAAAAAATCTGCTCTGAAAAGAATCCCCCATTTTCATTATGTAGCTATTTCTTTCTGGAGCTGCATATAGGTTTTTCTGTTATGGTGTGGTCCTGATAATACAGCTGTGTTTTAACTGGGGAGATTTATAAAGGGTGGTGGAGAATGATGAAGAACTGGGCATATTGTTGAGGGCTGGTTGTTGTGGTTTTTTTCCACTGAGCAGTTCAACAGCCTGGAGCAGCTGTGCATCAACTTCACCAATGAGAAACTGCAACAGTTCTTCAACCACCACATGTTCGTGCTGGAGCAGGAGGAGTACAAGAAGGAGGGGATTGAATGGACATTCATTGATTTTGGGATGGACCTGGCTGCCTGCATTGAGCTCATTGAGAAGGTATGTTTTAATTCAAGATATCTTCGATTTTCAAGAACCCATTGTTTTAAATTTCCAATGGTTGGATTCTTGTACTCAGTTTTAATTGCAGAAATACGTCTTGACCTGCACTGTGGCTAATTATGCATTATAGATATTACAAACCCCACTGAAAACTATAGAAGCAATTCTCACACATTCTCTACATGGAAGCTATCTCCATTTGCTTGGCTAAAGGATATTACCTTCAAAAACACAGGGCAGTTCCTAAAGGAAAATGAAAACGTTTTCTTAGGGCTCTGGAATAAAGCTATCTTGAAATAGATAACTGTATGGTTATTTGTACAGTTACCTGTAATGCTTCTGTATGGTTCACAGCAAAGCAAGTACAGTGCCTGACCTCTGAGAGGAAGAAACAGAGATTTCTTGTAGTTCCTTATAATTTAGGGCACTGATTGAAAATTCAAAATCACAACTAAATATGCCATGGACACATTTGTGAAAAACACTTTAAAATACATTCTTTCTCCTCATGAACTTTAACATGGTCTTTGGCATAAAAAACATTCCAAATCACAATACAAAGTGTAAATCAAGATGATGAATCTTTTAAACTCACTTTTTAGAAATAAATTTTCTATATGGCAAAGTTTGTTTTTCAGCTTCCTGCCTTTTACTACATTCCCATTGAGACCAAGCCATAATCATATATTCTACAGGCATTCTCTCTTGTTTATTGAACTCTCTTCCAGCCCATGGGCATCTTCTCCATCCTGGAAGAGGAGTGCATGTTCCCCAAGGCAACTGACACCTCTTTCAAGAACAAGCTCTATGACCAGCACCTGGGCAAGTCCAACAACTTCCAGAAGCCCAAGCCTGGCAAAGGCAAGGCTGAGGCCCACTTCTCCCTGGTGCACTATGCTGGCACAGTGGACTACAACATCACTGGGTGGCTGGAGAAGAACAAGGACCCTCTGAATGAAACTGTCATTGGGCTGTACCAGAAATCATCTGTGAAGACATTGGCTTTACTCTTTGCTTCTTATGGTGGAGCAGAAGCAGGTTATTTTTCTAAATTTTCTTTTTCAACAATTGGGGTATGTAAAGATACAACAAAAAAAGTTATATGGCTATATTGAATTTTTTTTTTTTTTTTTTTTTTTAAATTTTAAGAGGCTAGTGGTGGTGGTGGTGGCGGCAAGAAGGGAGGCAAGAAGAAGGGTTCTTCTTTCCAGACTGTCTCAGCTCTTTTCCGGGTAAAGTATGGATTCATTTTCTATAAAGTGACATGAACAAAATGTCAAAAATGAGTTAAATACACTCAGGTTTGTATTCTGGCAATAGTTTTCTAAAGAAGAGATACTAAGTATGAAGTGCATTTCACAACGATTTTGTGTTCAAATTCAGGATTCAGTCATCATTTGGATCTCTGAATTTCTTACAAAAGTTCACTCCAATTTATTGTGAAAAATATTTTTCAGAATCTGTAATGTAGTATGAATATAAATATTTATCCCAAAAAGGCTTGTGTTAAAATATTTATAGAATAGTGTTTTTCTTCATCCAAATAAGATGGAGAATTTTATACTTTTTTAAAATGAGAATACTTTTCAATAAAAAGTATATAGAAAGTTTCATTAAATCTAAACATTGAATTTGAAAGCTGCTTCTAAGATTTATTATATTAGTTCCTTGGCATCTAGGTACAAAGTATGCAAAAGTAAATTTCTTTTATCTGAACTACTATGCATGATCCCACAGGAGAATCTCAACAAGCTGATGACCAATCTGCGGAGCACTCACCCCCATTTTGTGCGCTGCATCATCCCCAATGAGACTAAAACACCTGGTAAGAACCCCAAGCAGAAAGATCCTTGCTCTGATACATCCATTCCCCTCTGCTCTGCAATCTGTGCCACTCATTTGTGCTCTGCATTGCCAGGTGCCATGGAGCACGAGCTGGTGCTGCACCAGCTGCGCTGTAACGGCGTGCTGGAAGGGATCAGGATCTGCAGGAAAGGGTTCCCCAGCAGAGTCCTCTATGCTGACTTCAAACAGAGGTGAGAGCTCTGTTCTTGTCAGCGTCATTAATAGCAATGTTGGTTCATTCATGGGTCCATTTAGGCTGTGCTCTGTTTTCAAAAACGGTTGATGGGATTTAGTAGTGGCTGCTGTGTGTTGCTTGGTAAAAAACAGCCTTATCTTTCTCTGATTCCAGATACAAGGTGCTTAATGCCAGTGCCATCCCCGAGGGACAGTTCATCGATAGCAAGAAGGCTTCTGAGAAGCTTCTTAGTTCAATCGATGTGGACCACACCCAGTACAAATTTGGACACACCAAGGTACCAACCCCCCCCTTCACTGCCTGCCTGGGCTTTGCTCTCTCTACCTGACAGTGATGTGCTGCAACATTGCCTCTCTCAAGGTGTTCTTCAAAGCTGGGCTGATAGGGATCCTGGAGGAGATGAGGGATGAGAAGCTGGCACAGCTCATCACCCGCACCCAGGCCAGGTGCAGGGGCTTCCTGATGAGGGTGGAGTACCAGAGAATGGTGGAGCGCAGGTATACCTTCTTCTTCTTCAGTTAAAATCACTTTGTTCATGGTAAAGTGTTGACACTCATCAGGCTGAGAATATTCATTGTACTTTTTAATTATGCCTCAGGGAATCCATCTTCTGCATCCAGTACAACATTCGTGCATTCATGAATGTCAAGCACTGGCCATGGATGAAGCTGTTCTTCAAGATCAAGCCCTTGCTGAAGAGTGCAGAGTCTGAGAAGGAAATGGCCAACATGAAGGGAGAGTTTGAGAAAACTAAGGAGGAACTTGCAAAGTCTGAGGCAAAGCGGAAGGAGCTTGAGGAGAAAATGGTATCTCTAATGAAGGAGAAAAATGACCTGCAGCTCCAAGTGCAGGCTGTAAGTAACATTTTTCTATTTTTTTATAAGTAAATGAGATCTAACTCTTCTTTCCTAATACAGGACTCACAAATTTCATACTAAGGTTTCTAAAATACTTTAAGCCTAATACCATTTAACTAAAGGTAAAATTAACACCACATTCTTTCTCCACTCAATCTTACTGTTGTAAGCTGGAGTTTAGAAAGTATGAGTTTTTAGTATTCATACCTACATGTGTCAGTTCATAAAGCCATATGAGAGATATTATATGAGACATAAAGCCTTACTGTAATCACTGTAGTATATCTAGTGGAGCAGAGACAGTAGCTTGACTGACCTACTACTCTGCCTTAACTCAATTGTAAAAATGAAGAGCTGGTTACCATTTCTTATAGCAGATCTCACGTTGCGTCCTGCACCTACTACTCCCAGAAGACACATGACCATTAGAACTTACAGCACAAGCATCATCTCCACATGTCTGTCTCAAATGTCTTTTGGCCTCCCAGAGCCATAAAAAACTTTTTGGCAATACCCTTGAGTAGAAATGTCTGGCTTAGGGAATGATCAATCTTACTCTATTGTCCACTGACACCATTGGCTGAGTATAAATCTACTAATGGGAGTTTCAAATATTTCCACGGAGGTAGAGTTATCAACATTTCTCAACACTTCCACATAAAGTTGAATTTAGTACATAGTAAGACACAGTCACTTTCTAAAGGAGAAACGGAATACACCAGTTAAATCTAAGTGACTTTCTGATATAGGTTGAAATTAAATGTAGCTAAATGGAGCTGTATTAAAGATGCAAAAGGTCCAACAAATAAACTAACTAAAAGCTTTTTCTAGATCTGTAGTTTCCAATGCAATTGCACAGTGTGTTTTTTTACCCAAAAGTAATTCTGAAAGTCTTGCCAGTTCACATGGGTTCCTTCAGTACTATTTCCTGCATTTTCCTACCAGGAAGCTGATGCTTTGGCTGATGCTGAGGAAAGGGGTGACCAGCTCATCAAAACCAAAATCCAGCTCGAAGCCAAAGTCAAGGAGGTGACTGAAAGGGCAGAGGATGAAGAAGAAAATAATGCTGAACTGACAGCCAAGAAGAGGAAGCTGGAGGATGAATGTTCAGAGCTGAAGAAAGATATTGATGACCTTGAGCTAACACTGGCCAAGGTGGAGAAGGAAAAACATGCCACTGAAAACAAGGTACACATTGGCAGTCACATAAAGGCTGAGGAAATTACAGAGTCTTGGAGTAAGAGGCAACTCACCAAAAGACATGCAGACTTTGTAAAATCTTGAGCTGGGCTTCTCTGAGCATCCAAGAGATAAATGAAACACAAAACCAGTGAACATGTTTCCTTTGAAATTTTAAAACCTGCTTATATTTGTAGGTGAAAAACCTGACTGAGGAGATGGCAGCCCTGGACGAGACCATTGACTCTGTGGTTCCTGAGTGCCGGGCTGCAACACTTGTCTCTTTTCTTTGAACTCTAACATGATTCATTTCGTCCAAAGGAAAGACTTTGAAATCAGCCAGATCCAGGGTAAGATCGAGGATGAACAAGCCCTGGGCATGCAACTTCAGAAGAAAATCAAGGAGCTGCAGGCAAGTGTCTGTTCCTTCCCCTGCCTTGCTCAGGCTCAGCTCAGGCAGGAGGAGGGCACGGGTGTGAAGGGTCCCTGCTGTTCTGCAGGCCCGCATTGAGGAGCTGGAGGAGGAAATTGAGGCAGAGCGAACCTCTCGCGCTAAAGCAGAGAAGCATCGCGCTGACCTGTCCAGGGAGCTGGAGGAGATCAGCGAGCGCCTGGAAGAAGCAGGAGGGGCCACAGCAGCTCAGGTGGAGATGAACAAGAAGCGTGAGGCAGAGTTCCAGAAGATGCGCCGTGACCTGGAAGAGGCCACGCTGCAGCACGAAGCCACGGCTGCCACCCTGCGCAAGAAGCACGCGGACAGCACAGCTGAGCTGGGCGAGCAGATCGACAACCTGCAACGCGTGAAGCAGAAGCTGGAGAAGGAGAAAAGTGAGATGAAGATGGAGATTGATGACCTGGCCAGCAACATGGAGTCTGTCTCCAAAGCCAAGGTGTGGAAAAATATGAAAAAAACACGAATATAAATAATGTTGAAGTATATGCTTTAAAATTATGGACAGATTGCCATCTACCTCGTGTCTCTGTATGGAACTTGTTTCTAACCTTCTAACTCCAAGGAACAGTCTATAATGTGCAAGACTGTTCACTTTTTTCTGGTTAGAATCCTGCTGTTCATAAGAAGGCATCCAGATACTAATCTTCTTTCATTCTCTGTGGTCTCCACAGGCCAACCTGGAGAAGATGTGCCGCACTCTGGAAGATCAGCTGAGTGAGATTAAGAGCAAGGAAGAAGAGCATCAGCGCATGATCAATGACCTCAATGCTCAAAGAGCTCGTCTGCAGACAGAGTCAGGTTAGAGAGACTCCCATGTGTTTTGGCATGATTCCTAAAACAGCTTGTTTGGGTCATAAATAACAATTAGAATATCTTCTTATTTATGTGCTTCCTTAGGTGAATTTTCACGCCAGGTAGATGAGAAAGATGCTCTGATTTCTCAGCTGTCAAGAGGCAAACAGGCTTTCACCCAACAGATTGAGGAACTCAAGAGGCATCTAGAGGAAGAAATTAAGGTTATTCCTGAATTCTTACCACTGGCCACTGACAACACTTGTAGCTTCACACTGCCTAGTGGTGACAGGATCTGCTTAGCACAAGCCATCCTGGGGCAAGGCTTTTGTTTCAGTAATAAGTTTGATTAATAGATTTTGTCCCCAGGCTTACATCTCTCCTTCTTTGCAAACACTCTTCAAGCACTCATGTTTGTAATGTGAAATTAATTCATTAGAAGAGATTTCATGGGATATTACTGCTCCTTGACGCATCCCCACTCTCTATGTAGGCCAAGAACGCCCTGGCCCATGCCCTGCAGTCTGCTCGCCATGACTGTGACTTGCTCCGGGAACAATATGAGGAGGAGCAGGAGGCCAAGGGGGAGCTGCAGCGAGCCCTGTCCAAGGCCAACAGCGAAGTGGCTCAGTGGAGAACCAAATACGAGACGGACGCTATTCAGCGCACGGAGGAGCTCGAGGAAGCCAAGTATGTGGGGAAGCAGGATGGGAAACGACTGGAGAAAATGGAGGCTGGTCAACAGAAATTGGAATCTCTGAGAGTGGGTTAACACAAGAATTAGTTGAAGGCAAGGTTATAGATTTGTAAAAAAAGGGGAGAAGAAGGCAGAGGAAAATGTGTAGAATGGAAGGGAAAATATAGGCTTTAAGACTAGAAGCACTAAGCCAGGCCTAATAGGTGATAGGACACAGCAAAGGCTAGATCCCTACATATTTGTGAAAAGTGCTCAGCTCAAAATGCTTAAAGTGATCAATTGTCAACCCTTAAAGTGATCAATTCTGTCTCATGACAGTATAGAACTCATATCTTTCCAAGCTTTAACATGCAACTGTGCTTGTCTCCTCCCAGGAAGAAACTGGCCCAGCGCCTGCAGGATGCAGAGGAACATGTTGAGGCTGTCAATGCCAAATGTGCCTCCCTGGAAAAGACAAAGCAGAGGCTGCAGAATGAAGTGGAGGATCTGATGATTGATGTGGAGAGATCCAATGCTGCCTGTGCTGCTCTGGATAAGAAGCAGAAGAACTTTGACAAGGTCTTTTGACACCAGCACCCCTGGCCAGAGCATGGCCCCATGATGGCCACAGCCCTACTCACACCCCGTTTCTCTTCAGATCCTGGCAGAATGGAAGCAGAAGTATGAGGAAACGCAGGCTGAGCTGGAGGCCTCGCAGAAGGAGTCGCGCTCTCTCAGCACGGAGCTGTTCAAGATGAAGAATGCCTATGAGGAGTCCTTGGACCACCTGGAAACAATGAAGCGGGAGAACAAGAACCTGCAGCGTAAGTCCCTGGCCCTCTGCTCCTCCCTGGCCTTTCTCACAAGCTTGTCTATATGCCACACTGAACAGCTCTGGGCCTGCAGGGATAAGATCTTGCCTGGCACCTTGATGCACCAGGACCTTTCTCCATTCAGCTCTCTGCTTGACCATGGTGCCTTTCTCCCTTCCTTGCAGAGGAGATTTCTGACCTCACAGAGCAGATTGCAGAGGGAGGAAAGGCAATTCATGAGCTGGAGAAAGTGAAGAAGCAGATTGAGCAGGAGAAATCTGAAATCCAGGCTGCTCTGGAGGAAGCTGAGGTATGTGGCCACAACCACTGGCATCTGCAGGAAATAAATGAGGAAATAGGGCTGAAAAGGCCTGGGTTGTCCTCTCTTCTGGCTGGGAGGTGCAACTAAGATTTCTGAAAATATTTTTTATTTTATCAACGTTTTTGTACACTTGTGCAGGCTTCCCTGGAACATGAGGAGGGGAAGATCCTGCGCCTGCAGCTTGAGCTCAACCAAGTGAAGTCTGAGATTGACAGGAAGATAGCAGAGAAAGATGAGGAGATTGACCAGATGAAGAGAAACCACCTCAGAATTGTGGAGTCCATGCAGAGCACCCTAGATGCTGAGATCAGGAGCAGGAATGAAGCCCTGAGGCTGAAGAAGAAGATGGAGGGTGACCTGAATGAAATGGAGATCCAGCTGAGCCATGCCAATCGTGTGGCTGCAGAGGCACAGAAGAACCTGAGGAACACCCAGGCTGTGCTCAAGGTATGTTACACTAAGAATGTGCATTGTGGGTTTTACTTTTCCAATACTGACTTTGCTGCAGTCTTCTAGATATATTCTAGTTCCTTAATAACTCTCCTTAATTGAAGAGCTCAGACCTGGATGCAATACTCACCACGCAAAACAGGAATTCAGCTCCAGCTCGTCCTTGGCTTTCGTAATCCTATCCTCACACATCCCAGGATGTGCATCTCTATATTCTTCTGAAGACATTTGGTGCTTGTTCTACCAATGCATTTCCTTCTTGCACTTCAGGTTGATCTGAAAGTCCTTGCTCAGCCATGCTGATCTCCTACCTCTCTTGCCTGATTGCTTTTACATGTGAAATGAGAACTTCTTCACTCCAGAAAAAAACATTCTTAACTCTTTTTGTTTGTTTGTTTGTTTTTGGGTTTTTTTTGGTTTTTTTTTTTTTGTTTTACATTCTTAACTCTTTTTTGTTTGTTTGTTTGTTTTTGGGTTTTTTTGGTTTTTTTTTTTTGTTTGTTTTGTTTTGTTTTGTTTTGTTGTTTTTTTTTTTTTTTTTTATTCTTGAGGGGAGTTTCTCAAGGGGGTTCCATCCAGGAATTCCTTAAAAAACTCAAGTCCACTCTCCTAAAATTCAGAAACTTTACATTACTCTTCAGCTGTCCCAGATTCACATTAATCAACCTCCAGCTGACTTTTCTAACATATTGTGCATAGACGGAAAATAAGTCCACATATAAATATATTCCTATAATTATACACATTATACTACCATAATAATTATGGGACTGGTGGCAATTGCCATTGTGCAACAGTGCTCTGTCATTTTATAATTTCTCTTGATTCTTTGCCTTATAATTTCTCTTTATTCTCTACAGGACACCCAGATACACTTGGATGATGCTCTGAGGACACAGGATGACCTGAAGGAGCAGGTGGCCATGGTGGAGCGCAGAGCAAACCTGCTGCAGGCTGAAGTTGAGGAGCTCCGGGCAGCCCTGGAGCAGACGGAGCGGTCGAGTAAATTGGCTGAGCAAGAGATTCTGGATGCAAGTGAGAGAGTTCAGCTCCTCCACACTCAGGTTAGATTCAAAATCTCATGGGCAATTTTCTTCCTTTACAGATTTTCTTCAGTGTAAATTCCTAAATCGACTCTTGTAATAAAGTACTTTTTCTGAACCAGAATTATTACACTTGTAATGGATTACGGCAAAATGAGTAGGATTGCGTGAGCAGTTAGAAGAGCTGCTTCAAATTTCAGTAATTTTCTGCTATCTAGCTGTGTATGACTTGACAAGATACATCAGGAAAATGCAGATATTAGATATTTAGAGGATAACTTTACATTGAAACATTAAATTCCTTCAGTAATTGCTCTCTTTTGGGAATAACTGAGAAAAATTTTATTGTTCAACAGAACACCAGCCTGATCAACACCAAGAAGAAGCTGGAAACAGACATTGCCCAGATCCAGAGTGAAATGGAAGATACCATCCAGGAAGCCCGCAATGCTGAGGAGAAGGCCAAGAAGGCCATCACAGATGTGAGTTGGACATTCCTGGCATTGCTGAGGATGAATGTACTCTCCCCAAAATATGTCCAGCCCCAAAATGGCTTTGACCTTTTGCTTTGATCAGGCGGCCATGATGGCAGAGGAGCTGAAGAAGGAGCAGGACACCAGTGCCCACCTGGAGAGGATGAAGAAGAACCTGGACCAGAGTGTGAAGGACCTGCAGCACCGTCTGGAAGAGGCTGAGCAGCTGGCACTGAAGGGAGGGAAGAAGCAGATCCAGAAGCTGGAGGCCAGGGTGTGTAGGGCTGGGGCTGTGCCTGAGTGAGCGTGTCTCTGCTTGGAGAGTCATTGTCAGGGAAGCTGCAGGGATGGGCTTGTCCTTGCAGGTGCGGGAGCTGGAAGGGGAGGTTGATGCTGAGCAGAAGCGCAGCGCTGAAGCCGTGAAGGGTGTGCGCAAGTACGAGCGGAGGGTGAAGGAACTCACCTACCAGGTAAGGCAGGAGCTCTCCTGCTCTCACAGGGCTTTCTCACAGCGAGTCACATTTTGCCCACACCATCCCCAAGGGCAATTGTTAACCTCACATGATGCAAAACCAAGAACTGACTCTCCTTCCCATTTGCCAAACCTTTTAGTCTGAGGAAGACAGGAAGAATATTCTCAGGCTGCAGGATCTGGTGGACAAGCTGCAAATGAAAGTGAAATCTTACAAGAGACAAGCTGAGGAGGCTGTAAGTACTTGGAGAAAGGGCAAACATTCCATTGGGGCAGGACACACGTTGAATGAGGCTCAATACCAGGAGAGGGGTATGAAAGCAACTCCCAAGACACAAGTGTCTTGGCCAGGCTGCTTTGCTATCGTTTCTCAAGGCCCTGGTGAGCTCTGGGCACCCTGCAGTCAGGGACATTCATTAAGGGAAGTTCTGCAGCCTGTTTCACACAGAAGGCCAGAGTAAACAAACCCAGGGGCGACACCCACTGACTGACAAGTTCCTGAATCTCTGCTAATAGCCAGTAGCAGAAGGCTTCCTGGTCTTCCCCACCCAGTAAATTGCACTGACAATTGGGCAGGAATTAGTGGGAGGATAAGTACAGAAATGATAAATTGAAGATGTGAAATTTATTCTCATTTGTGATCCGGTCCTGGAGAAGCTTGTCCCAGTAGGAACCTGAGAAGGGGAGGATGAGGAGCCCTGTGTGTGGCTGATGTGTGAGCAGTGGTGGGAGGGGGATGGAGATTTGCAGCCCTATAAGGCTGACTTGCTGCAGGAACTAAACCTTTGCCCTGGGCTCCTCACCACTCACTCCCTTTCCCCACACAGGAGGAGCTGTCCAATGTGAACCTCTCCAAGTTCCGCAAGATCCAGCACGAGCTGGAGGAAGCCGAGGAGCGGGCTGACATTGCAGAGTCACAGGTCAACAAGCTCCGAGCCAAGAGCCGGGAAATTCATGGCAAGAAAATAGGAGAGGAAGAGTAAGAATGTCATGAGACAACAAAGTGACCTGAGGGCTGCACAAAATGTGTGCCCTCTGTCCTTCTTCAAGTGTTCATAGCCTTGTCTATATGTAGAAAATAAAGAGCATAGATTTCGTCGCATACACAGCAGAATCAGTGATTTTGGTCATTACAATTCAGTTCTGCAGTTACGCAAGTTTGGAGCATTTTCAAATGAAATATTTATTTCACTTTAAGCCCTGTGTAACAGTACAGCTTTACTTATCCCATCTCCAGTATTTCTCCACTCTGGCTTACTCCATTACCAAGAAGGGAATAAGACTAATTTAATTTCCATACTGGGAGAGCAATAGAACAAAGGCAGGACAAGCACATTTTCTGTCCTGGCATAGAAAAAATTCGTTTTCCTTTGTGGATCATGTTTCTACATGGGTACAGTACTCAGAGGTACTCATTGATAGTCCCATTATCAGCTGGGCAAGTGCTATTTAGAGGCAAGTTTCCCCAGGGAAAAACATCTGTAGTCCCAAAAGCATCTGTATGTCTCTGAGTCCATATGGAGGAGCTTAGGCAAGGACTGATGTGTTGCCTTAGAACAAGGCAAGTGAAGGTCAGTAACTCTGGGGAGTGACTTGTTACTGAGGAAATTTAAAGATCATACAGCCTTGTTAATAACTTCACAAATATGATGTTAACAATCAGTTTCAAAGAAAAACAAATAATGTATTATTTGGATAAGAGGATATTGCACTGCCTTACTTCCTCTGTAAGGCAGAATATCCACTATTAATATGTTCCAGTTGTAAATGAAATTGAACTTAATGAACAGCTTTGTAGAAGTGTGAACAAGAGGATAAACCCCAAGCAGTGTAACATGTACAGCCACGAGAACAAGTGGGAACAGCTGCACTACTATATAGTGTTTCCAGTACTGAAATGGATGAGTTTTTATTCTAAGGAATAATTAAGAGTAATGTACAAATACAAAAGCTAAAAGAGCTGGTTTTCATCATGCAAGATGTCTTCATGTGGATATAATACTGAGAACATTACAACTTGAAAGGAATCATAAAATCTAACACTTTACAGAAGTAAAACTCCATAGACAATGATGACAAACAGTGTCCTACCTGTCTGACTCTTGCAGCACTGGAGTGGAATGTAGATATCAACTGCATTTGAACTGAACAGAGAAGAAACAAGACATCTACACAAGGTGTGCTGGTCTGAAGTCTTAAACAAATGACAGGCTGTTTCCTGCAAGGCAAGAAGCAGTATTTAAAATAGGGAACCCCATTTGTAGCAGTAGTGGACCCAGGCACATCACACAGCTGCCAAGGGCAGATTCTACATGCAGATACCATTTTCCATTTTACCATTGTAAAGGACACTCTATCACACTACAGAAGCATTTGTGGGTCCCTCAAGGTTTCTGGCTAGGTCTACACCTCTTTATTTATGGGGAGTGCTTCAAGGAGCTGTGAAACTACTAGGGAAGGGAGCTGGAGTTGTTGGAAATATGATGAGAAAAGAGCAGGACTGAAGCCTTTTGCTCTGCACCACAGCTGTCAGTGTGTTTGCAGCAACAGTGTTCAGGACTGGGAGATCCTCCTGCTCTGAAACACACTGAGGTTTACACCCAAGGAATCCTCCCCTGTTATAACTAAATATGGAAGTAGTCTCCTAGGCAGCAGATAAATCTATTTAAGGAAAAGATGACGCCCTGTGTTGACTCTTGTGGCACTGTAAGTGATGCTCTTCAGAGACATCATCTCTATGTGTGAAGCTGTGAAAACTTCATCAGTGCCAGCGATATCTGGGCAACAAAGAAGGGAAATGACTCTTCTCCTTTTCCCTTCCCACAATATGCTCTGAAGAGATATGTGGTATTCTTTCTTTCCAGACAAGTCCTTACCTGCCACCCCTTGAAAGAAAACAGGATAATTTCTTTTTTTCTAAAGAACATCTTTCTTTAAACAAACCAACAAAAAACACCAAAAACATAATTAAAAAATCAGGATGTTACAAATGTGGCTCAGTGAAAACATGGAAAAGTATTTCCAGCTCCATCTGTACCTCTTGAGACCTGCTGACAGAGTAGTAAATAACACAACAACTTTGGGGACCATGTTTCAGTGCCAAAACTCCGTGTTCCCTTTGGACAATATTACAATCACCCTCCAAAATGAACAAGCTGCTCTGACTGTGGAAGAATCAGGATGCACTTGAAGCACCTGACACTGTTGGGGCTCCTCTCTCACTTGTAAGAAATTATGGCCTGAGAATTTGTTACTGATGCTCAACTGATGAAAGGTAACTTTGCAGGTTCCTTAATAGTCAGCACCTGGGGCCAGAATTCCAGCTGCACAGGTGGGAGAGGGAGAGAAATCACACACATTGCACTGTGCTGAGCTGGCCTTGCCACCAGCCATCCTGGAAAGCAGGGCTGGAGACTCACTGGAATCAGAGAATATTAAAGGGATGAGTAAGGAAAACCAGTTTCTCCTCACTTTTGATTTGCTGTCTTGGCTGGAGGACAGGAGTGGTTTTGCATCAACACCCTATTTCTGGAGTCAGGCTGCTTGTGATCTGAAATGTGCTGATGCACAGGTAACTGATCCAGGAAGCAACATGGGCCCATAAGTGGTCTAAAGAAACAACTCTCAGAGAAGGTTTAAAATAGATGCAGCTGATGAGCTCCACTAGAGCTGCTGTCCCATGTGGACTATAGAGTTCTCTGACCTTCAACAGCTTGAGCATGGACAACTGTGTCTCCTGGGTGCAAAAGCATCAGCACTTTAAGAGGCGCATATAAAGACTTTATATGTAAGTCACACCTCATCATCCTTTCTTTTTCTTTTCTCAGTACATGCTGGCCTTTTTTTTCTTTCTAATACTAAACTTTGAACACTGATTTCTCTAATTTCTGCTTCACTTTCCAACATCTCTGACATTTCCAGGCACTAATCTTCTTCCCATTGGCTTATCAGTCTTTCCACCCTGCTCATCTTCAATGTAACTGAAGCTCCAGTGTGTGGGGAAAAAAGTATCCTCTACATCACTCTGATATTATTTAGAACACTGCTCAGATGTCATCCTCTCATGTTTGCTGTACTGGTTGAAGGAGAATGATTAGCTAACTGTGATGTAATTTCAAGAACTGTTTATCCTGGCATTCCAGGTCACAGTTTTTACCTTCCTCTGCTCAGTGAAATGACACCTTCCTCTTAACTGCAGATAATCTGCCACTGCAACTTCTCAGGAAGCCACTTGGAGTCCCCACTGAAAAAGGCATCACCTTTACAAACATGTAACTCACAACAGTCTTTACCAGGCAAAGTAACACTTTGATTTCCATGAACTGAAGCAAGATCAGAAGCATAGCAACCACTAAGACTAGAGGAACAGAACTTGAAGAGAGAAAAACCACCAATTCATACAAATTAACAAACAGAAAAAAACAGCCTCGCTCCCCTCTCCCCAGCCAAAAAATCCCCACCTGAACAGCTCCTCCGCCCCCAAATTTCACCAGCAGCATTATCCAGGGGCTTACACTCTACTTCCATGGATTTTAGCTCTCATCTCTCATAGCCCATGCAGTGAACATCCTGAACTGCTTTTCATCCCTAAGGATGCATTCCAGTCTGTCATTACTTATTAAAATTAGCAATTTTCTTCTAGGTCAGTTCATGTTTCTTACTTTTTTTTTTTTTTTCTCATTCCCTGCACCAGCATGGATTAGGGATGTCTAATAGATCTCCAAACCATGTTTCTTTGCTGGGCAACTCATCACGCCAGCCACCTTATGACACACAAACAGCCTGCAAGAAATACACATCACTTTAGTCTGATCTGATCCTTACTGGTTTTTATATACAAATTATGTCCTTACCATTGCAATGGTCCAGTACTCAGCTAGGTCTTAGCAGAAGAGTAGGGATGAGAAGTTTTGCTCCAGCAGATCAGAGCATCAGCATTTGTTTTCAGCATGTGGTAATGCTCCTGGGAGCTCTCGCTTTACCCAGAGGCAGCAGAAATGCTGCTGCAGCCGTGTGAATATTCCCTGCCAGACAGTTAATCAGGGTCCTCAGGGTGCACTGATGCCTCCAGCACGCCCTGTTCACATGACAGCATGGCTGACTATAGCACTAGCAAGCTGCAGATCCTATGGGGAAGGTTTTTGGATAAAATATCTGGTGTATCAGATAATTTGAAGTAGTATAAAGCTGAAAGGGAAATAGCGGTGGGTTTATCTTTGCTATCTTTGAGGTTTTTGGAAAGAACAGGAAAAAAAATGGAGAAACCAGTGAATTTCTGGAAAAGAAGTCCATCAAGGGCCATGAGGCTCCTGCAGGTCCTTCTCAAAATGTGGGGGCTGTGGGGAGTAAGATGGGGGGAACATTCTTCATCATCCTTCAGACACATCCACACTAAACATCTTAATCCTTCCACCACACAAGACATCAGCCCCTCAATTATACATGGATGGTCCTCCCTCTGGCAAGGCAAAGCATCTGCTCACCATCAAAACGCAACATTATTATTCACCAATCCCTGGAACCTTTAAGATTAATCACATTCTACTTTGTAGATTAATCACATTCTATTTTATGGAGTTTCCTCAGGACTGGGAATTATATTTAGGAAGTCCTAGGCTCACACACTTGTAGTGAAAGCCCTCTATCAAAAACATAAGTAAACTTTCATGATAACTAAGGCAGTTCCTTTTAACTGCCTGCCTGTAGGAAAAAAGCTGAAGTTTACCTTTATCCCTTTTTGTATCTGGACCGTATTCTGGTTCAAATTTATAACAGACTGACTAAATGATCCACAATGGTGAGGAATTCTCAGTGAGGCCGGAGAAGATTCTCCCATCGGTCATGCCAGCCCTGAATGCCTCTGTGAACCATGAGATTCCAGTGTTCTGCCCACTGAAAGCTCATTTTGGAGTGGCTTCCGTGGAGTGCTCGTGTGGCCATTTCAGACACCAGACCATAGTTCAACATTGGTGAGACCAGATGACTAGCTGGGAAGAAATTCTCTTCTACTGGGACCATACCTGCTCAGTTCCCCCTCAGGAGGGATTTCCAGACCTGCTTTCATGCACCATACACTCACCATATATGGACTAGAGTAAGGACTGGGAATGGAGCTGGGGAGAAATTCTCTTCTGGGGACTGGGACCATACCTGCTCAGTTCCCCCTCAGGAGGGATTTCCAGACCTGCTTTCATGCACCATACACTCACCATATATGGACTAGAGTAAGGACTGGGAATGACAAAGTCTGGGGAAGGAATGACTGTCCAAAGGGCTGTGACCTTCTGTAAGATCTGCAACAGAGTCCACACTACAAGGAAAAGTGGATGAAAGGCAGTTTGTCATAAGCAGGCCAAGACAGATTATCCTGTCATCTTCTGCAAATGAGACTGTCCAGGCAAAGGAGCTGCAGCATTCCTGATCTGGCTGGATCAGAACAGCCAGGATCTGGAAAACTGCTGTTAAACTGGAAACCAGGCAGGCACTGAGCACTGGGAGACAGGGAAAGGAGCACTTCTACCAGACAGCCAATCTGCCAGCTGATTCCCTTCAGCTAGCAGGGCTGCGGGGCCCTTTGCTCAAAATATTCTGGCAGTGTCTGAGACAGCAAATGAATGTCAAACATATTTAGCAAGTTCCTCTGGCTGACCTGGCTGGGAAGGCACCAACCTCCCTATTTATTTTCTGTATTAGTCACACATGTTGCTTGGTCAGTGCTGACAGGGAGGAAGCTTGATGGGAAGCAAATAAATCAAAATAAAAGGGAGAGAAACCAACCAGAATGGTGAGGTTGGGATCCAAGTGTCCAGCTCAGTATGTCCTCTGAGAAATATTAGTTAAAATTTTGGCACAGGGGAGCCAGATTTTTTTTATTTGGGATATCTCCAAGGTCTGAATGAAGACAAAAGGCTGTCAAAGGGCAAACCACAGAAAAGTGTTCTTTCTTAAGTGAAATGAAGATGTTTTTGCACACAGAGCTCACCCTCAGGTGGCAGTGCAGGTAGCAGGAGAGGTGGGAGGGCATTTGGTTCAAGGTAGGAGAAGGTGTGTGCAGACACTGCTGCCACACAGTCTGAGACACCACCGAGGCTGAGCCACTGCCAGGACAATGCTCTGGGCTGACCTGTAGGTCCTGCCAGGTCTGTCCCACCTAAAAGCAAATGGATGGCTCAGTAGTGCCCCTTGGGTGCTGCCCAAGGGCAGAGCGAGGAGGAGTCCTGAAGGAAGAACATGAGGCTGGCACATTTTGGAGAGGGGAGAAGCTGAATGACTGGGACTGATTGCAGGCCTGAAAGACCATCAGCTGCCTTTGGGGTTTTTGAGGGGCCAGCAAAGTTCCATATCAGAAAAAGGAGCAATTAGGGTGGCAGAAATGTGGTGACCCTGAAGTAGGTTGTCTCAGGTCTGGAGCAGAACAAAGGTTTACTGTATTGGGTGAGTTGAAACTCAAGAATATCTTGCCCCTACAGTAGACTTGGCTGAGACTGTACAGGTATTTCTGTGTCATCAGGGTCTTATCCCATGCCAGTACAGTGTTAGCTCATGAACTCCGCATTATCTTGCCTCTTGATGAAGACTTACAGCGCTCCTGTGACTTCCTCTGATTGTTGGAACCCTGGATGCTGAGAATTTTAAACTTTCTGTACTGAAAGGCACAGACCCACAAGAGAACACTGCAATTGACCTGAGGCTGTGGAGAAGCTTCCAAAATTGATTGAGAGCACTGGGATTACGGGTTTGTAATTGGTTAGAAGTGTGTAATATCACAGGGTGGAAAACTTGGAGTTTGGGGTTTTAGAATATAGTAATAAATATAAAGCAAGATGGAGATTTCAGGGCAGAGGCAGGTTATTCTTTTTACCTTCTTCCTTCTTCTTCATCGATTTAGGTGACGTTTTGTAATTGGGCAGAAAAATCCTCATTGCGGGATTCAAGGGATCAGTTATTTGGTTAAAAGGAAAAATAATCCAGGTGTCATTTCTTAATTGGATAGTTTAGTCTTAAAAGACCTTGTAACAAGAGATAGTTAGCCATTTTGTGCCTTACTAATGAAAGGATGCAGAACTCATGGATAGGAAGCTGTTTCACTGATAAGAAATAATAAACACCTGAGTCTGAACATGAACTACTGTCTTGAGTGCCTTCACTCCAGACCCAGAGAAACCAATGTCTGATGATCGGAACTCTCTCCCAGACATTCATTCAAACAAACTTTCATCCCACCTCAGAATTTATATAGAATATAAATTTATTATAAATTTATGTTATTTAATATATAATATATATAATAATATTATTTAATTTATATTGTAAATTTATATACAATTTATATTTACCCCATAGTTACACAGCTTATATGGATCAAACATCAATTTGTCATCTCTGTTCTCATTTTAGCCTTCAATACACACATACTTCAGGAAAATCAGAATTTTGCTTCTAGGAAGTGATTTGTGCCTTATTTATGCCAGCATACTTTAGAGGCATGGTGATTGTTAACATTCCACTTCCTAGGATATGTAAAAAAATGCCTACTTTATGACCTCAGAGACTGCAGTCACATTTACATCCAGTTGACACAGGTTTTACATGTCCTCATTTCAAGCTGGCGACGTGCCACTGCCTGGGAGTCTGAGTTTGTTAATATTAACTTGTTGCAGTTTCTTTTTGCAAATACAACCTCAGTGTTACATTCTCTGAATCTATAATGTTTATATTTATGACAAATTCCATAATTTTTAAATTTTTTGCACTAAAATAATAACTATTTTTTATCTTATCTGTAACCTTGTTCTCTGTGGATTTTTCCTGTCATTGAGAGCAGGAAGGTCACTTATAGCTCTTCAACAGCAATATGTGCTATCTTTTTTTTGTTTGTTTCCTCATTTTATTTTATTTCTTTTTTTAAAGACATGTATGTAGGCCTCAGACTTGGATAAATAATGGAACTTGCTGTGGAATACGTTAGGTTTTGCACCAAATTGATGTGCATGTCCCTCTGGTGTACAACTACTTGATGCCAAGTAATGGACAAGTTCATAGTATAAAAATTAGGTTTAGGTTTAGGTTACATCAAAGATGTCGCTGACTTACAAAATCTCTAAGCAACATATCAGAGAGGCTGTGGAAGCATTCTCAGGAAGATCACTACATGCATGTTATGTTTACATATGCTAACTGGGAACGCTCTCTTGGCAAGTGTCAGAGGAAGGAGCTACAAAGATCTGGATACAGATATTCTTATTTATTAAAGAAACTCCCCTGTCCAAGAGGAGTTGCACCAGGTTCTGTCGTTCTGTGATCTTCTTCTCATCAAGAGCCTGTCTTCAGGATGCCTGAATTCCCTTTCCTCCATGGGGAATATCAGCACTCCAGTGCTTTGCCCAAGCTGCATTTCTGGGCAGAACAGACTGTTCCCACACACATCCTTCATTCTGTCCTGTCTCGTTCAGCTGGGCTGTCTTTTGCTTCCAGCATTGGTGGAATCCAGCCCTGCAGAGATATATGGATACAGAGTAATATGAATACAGAGTAATATGTAATAATCTGACTAAGGTAAGCAATGCAGACAACCACCACTGAAATCCATGTGTCATATCCAAGATCTGTAAGTAGAGAGCTCTGTGAAAGGACAACTGCCATCAGACATATGATGTCCTCAGAATAAGCTGAAGTATGCATCCAAATGTCACTGTGCTTGCCCAGGGAATGGTTTTCCCTTGCTCCCTTAGCTCAGATTCATGGAGCATCCATGGCCTTGCAGGTATTAGTGGTTACCCTCATTCCTCTAGTCATCATTAGCTGTATTTCCCTCCTTAGGAATCTTCTCATATTATTTATAGGCAATTTATTCACATAGCTAGGAAGAGACAAAAATTTTCTAATTATATCTGGTAACATCACTTTCCAGTTTTCAGTACATTCAGTTTGCCAGACAATGCTTTGCCAAAAACAAGGTTTGCCAGAAATGCTTTGCCCAAAGACAGAGGAGGCATCTGCAGCATGCGCTGACCAGACCCTATAAAAGAGTCCTTGAATTTGGGCTGCTCTGTCTGCAGAGGAAATTCGTGGTAAGTGCACGTCTGTGGTTGGCAGAAAGGGACAGTGTGCCTGCAGTCCCACTCCAGCCCTGCTGTCCTGATGTATGTACATGTACCTGGAAGGATTTGATATTTGGATCATAAGGCGTGTTGGTATTTTCACTGTGTGACCTGTCTGTGGAATTGTGTGCAGCAATAATGAGAGATCTCATGGTTCTGCCTTACAGCACCCATCATCTCCCAGCCTGCAAATAATATAAGAGGTAAGAGCCACATATGCTTGCATTTAAGGGACAGAAAAAGGTGGAAGATTTCTGTAGAACAGATTTCTTTGTGGTGACAAAATTTTGTGGGCAATTGCTGCATGTGTTCCTGGCCACAGCTCTGCTATGACTAATAAAGCATGCTGATGGTTGGGCAGGCTGCTCACAGCTAGCAAGATTTCATAAGTGGCTGTGCTTGAAGACACAGCCACTATGTAATGCCAGGAAATGCTTCTTGGGGATTCCTTATGTTTAATTATGGAACACTGAGGTAAATGATCTTTTCTGGCATGAAGTCCAGACAGACAGAGCTAGCCAACAGAACAGAATGTTGCAAAACCTACAGACTTATGAGTTGTAATTATTACTGCATATGAAACTGGCCAATAAATGCTATGAAAATGCTTTCCAAATGATACTCCAGGGTTATAATCTTTATGTAGGCCTCCTACTAGTAAACTTGATAAAAATGCAAAAATAGCTATCTGACTAACCAAACAATGAAAAGAGCTCCTATTCCTCTGAAAGAACTCTGAGTCAAATGGAGGATCTGCATGCTACTAGGAGTAGCTGCAAATGTTTGTTAACATTTTGGTTATTTACCTTACTAAAAGTTATGACATGACATCTTATCCAGCTGACTGTCTGTCTAACTTCTTTGGAATTCAGATACTTTCTGTTACTAGCCACATGGTATTTCTTTGGAAATCCAGTACTGCACTTAGGTATCTGGGTTTGATTTATAAATTCTTCAGCTGAGGTTTCTAGCTTTGCTTATAGTTATTTCCACAAAAAGATTAACATAAGAACAAACAGTTGGTTGTGCAGTGTTTTAACCTGATGAATTATGTGTCCTTACATGCCAGTTGCTCACGTACTACTTAAATAATTTGGGATGAGTAGTAAAGAACTCCAGTGAATGATTCAGAGCATCAGCAAAAAACATTATGCCTTAGATAGTCCTCAGAACACCTTCTAGACCATTAGCAACCCAAATGATGCATGGAATGCATCCTCAGGAACTATAGCTGACAACAAACAGAAACTCGCAATTATGCTACAAGGCAATGTTACCCTGGAAAAAGATCCTCAGAAAGCTTCATCCTGAGGCTGATAAGAACCTTGCAAATCCTGCATATGAGAGAGAATAGTCCCATGCAACAGAGTATGTTGTATTTCATTTTGGCTGGAAAACAGCTTTGCAGAAAGATTTCATGAATTCGGGTGCAAGTGTCACAGTGTGCCTTTGGGGGAGGAAGGTCAGCAGCACATTGTGAGACACTCATGAAAGCATGGTCAGCAGGCAAAGACAAGTGATTCTTTCCCTGCATTCAGCTCCCTTATCTGGAGCACTGTGTTCAGTTTGGTGCTTTCTGGTGACCAGACAGTGACATTCTGGAATGAATCCAGCAGAGATCTTCCAAGATAAGTAGGAAAAAATATGTATGAGAAGAGGCTGCAATGGTGAGGTTTGTCTACACTGGGGATGAAATTAAGAAGTGGTTATCTTATTGTCGACAAAAAGGAGACGGTTATATCATGGAAATAGCCAAACTCTTCTTAAATGGGCAGAGTAAAAGGCTGAGGGATAAAAACCACAGGCTTCAGCCACGGGAATTTTGGTTAGGTAATAAACAGGGGAAAAAAAATCACTGTCAGGGTCATCAGACATTAAGCTAGGATGAAAAGGGACTGAGAAATATCCATTTTTTGACATAATAAAAACTTCTCAGAAAAAAGCTGTGGGAACCTGCATCCAAAATTTGCCCTGGTTGCGCAGGAAGGTGAAGCAAAGAACTACTCCAGATTCTTTCCAAATCCCACTTTCTGTTTCACTGTTAGTGTCTATCAATAAAGTGTGTGACAAGAAAAAATATTGACTAATTTGGGTAACATATCTGCTCTTCCACAGTGTTCTCTGCTGACAAGCCCCTCCATAAAGTGCAGCCATGTCTTCGGACCCTGAGATGGCCATCTTTGGGGAGGCGGCTCCTTACCTCCGAAAGTCAGAGAAGGAGAGAATTGAGGCCCAGAACAAACCTTTTGATGCCAAGTCATCTGTCTTTGTGGTACATGCAAAGGAATCCTTTGTGAAAGGGACAATCACGAGCAGGGAATCGGGAAAAGTCACTGTCAAGACTGAAGGGGGAGAGGTGAGTCAAAAACAAGGCTGAAGGAAAACATATAATCCCAACAATGAGCTTTTCAGAGACACATGTGGATCTTTTGTTTTCTTGAAAGACCCTGACCGTGAAAGAAGATCAAATCTTCTCCATGAACCCTCCCAAGTATGACAAAATCGAGGACATGGCCCTCAGGCTCTACCTCCAAGCTCATGTTTTGGGTGTGCTGCCTCTATCTCTACAGCCCAGAGTGTAACAGCTGACTTGTGTTTTTCACAAGACCAAAATCCTCATTTAACTTTTCCACCACCAAAATCTGGTTGCACAGCATGCTTTCTGATTAGAAAATGGCTTTCAGTATATCCATGTGTTTGAATTGTAACATAAGTGACCCAATATAATGATTTATTAGTGGTTTTCTCATTCCTGTGCATTCATGGTTATCCAATAAATAGTAGTGGATAATAAAGCACAGATCTATCTAGTATTAGCAGTATAAAGAATTTTCTGAATATGTTTTTGTCCTGTTTTGCTTTGTTAAAAAACCAATATAGAAGTGAAACAACCTCTAAGTTGAAGCCTGTCCTCTGTGGAAAATGTAAGGTCACATGCTTACAGTCATGGTGAAATTTCAAAATGTCTTTTTTTCTTTCCCTTACAAAAGGGCAAATTCATCAGAATCCACTTTGGTGCCACAGGCAAGCTGGCTTCTGCTGACATTGAAACATGTAAGAGACCTCTAGACCTGATCCCATTCCTTCCTCCCTTTCTACCTCAGTATTCTTTCTCAGATCTGACTCTGTCTTACCATCCTTGCCAGATCTGCTGGAGAAGTCCAGAGTCACTTTCCAGCTCAAGGCGGAAAGGAGCTACCACATCTTTTATCAGATCATGTCCAACAAGAAGCCGGAGCTAATTGGTATGAAGTATTATGAATTATTTGATAAAATCTGAATGTGTTTAGCATTTATTTTCATTCTCACACCAAGATACATCCTATTCCTCTTTACAGACATGCTCCTCATCACCACCAACCCATATGACTACCAGTTTGTGAGTCAAGGTGAGATCACAGTTCCCAGCATTAACGACCAGGAGGAGCTGATGGCTACAGATGTAAGTGTCACAGAGCATATTGGTGTGGTGAAACTTCCTTTTGATGGCTCAGAGATTTATTTCACTGATCCTGTTGCCAGAGTGCCATTGAAATCCTGGGTTTCACTGCTGATGAGAGATTAGCCATCTACAAGCTGACAGGGGCTGTCATGCACTACGGGAACCTGAAGTTCAAGCAGAAACAACGAGAGGAGCAGGCAGAGCCTGATGGCACTGAAGGTATTAAAACCTTATAGAACTCCTACTAACAGAAATGGTTACATAGCTTGAAGTTGGCAGTCATGTATTTTCTTTCTGTTTACTATCACAAATACATCAATATCAGCTTCAAGACTATTTATGCTTCTGAATTTCCCTTCAAGATATCACAAAATTTCAGTGATGAGACCAACAGCTACGTCTTAGAATATATCCAATTTCAATTATCACTTCTCCTCTGTTGCTTTCTCCCTCTTTCTTTGTGTTCAGTTGCTGACAAGGCTGCCTACCTGATGGGTCTGAACTCAGCAGACCTGCTCAAGGCCCTCTGCTACCCCCGAGTCAAGGTGGGGAATGAATACGTCACCAAGGGCCAGACTGTGCAGCAGGTAACAACAACCAGATGCTGACTGGGAACCTCTGACTTGAATCACTTACTCTTTGCTCTGGATATTGTATTTATTCTGCTCCATTCTCCTTTGGTTTAGGTGTACAATTCAGTGGGTGCCCTGGCAAAGGCTGTCTATGAGAAGATGTTCCTGTGGATGGTTGTTCGCATCAATGAACAGCTGGACACGAAGCAGCCCAGGCAGTACTTCATTGGTGTGCTGGACATTGCTGGCTTTGAGATCTTTGATGTAAGGATTCCAGGGTTAACAGCTGCTCTTGAAGGGAAGGATTGTTATATCAGAGGACTTGCAAGTAATATTCCTCTGAAAGTTTAACATGCCAGTCATTTGCAATTTTATGCAGAAAAAAACTCAGTCATTTTCTTTTCTAGCAGAAAACAAAATCCTTAAAAGCTCCATCAGTACAAGCACAGAGTCATATTGTTTGTGCAGATGCAGAAAATAGAATTTTATATGTTGTAATATTACAACTGTTTGATCTTAATATTAAGGATTAAATAACCCAAAATAATTCCAATACATTTATAAAAGAGCTTCTGGAGCAGAGCTAGTGCATGGTGGTTAGCCCCAAAGCAACAGATGTTTCATTATCTTTACTTTATCAGAGGCTAGCGGTGGTGGTGGTGGTGGTGGCAAGAAGGGAGGCAAGAAGAAGGGTTCTTCTTTCCAGACTGTCTCAGCTCTTTTCCGGGTACGTAAACACTTTTTCTTGTCATATATTCAGAGAATTATTATGTATGTTTAGCTGGCTCGGACACAGAAAAAAAAAAGCAAAAAAACCCCACAGTCATGGTTGGTTGGTTGGTTGGTAAAAATATTCTATATATAACTTCTCTTTAGACCACTACTGGAAACAAAAATCTTGTTAAATGAAAATTGGCACTGTAAAAACATAAAATTGCATTTAATATAAACATAAAATTTTGTCATAAAACGTGCCTTTCTATCATTCATTTGGTTGATGGTAAGGTTTTCTTTTGTCCTACAAGGTGAGGTTTAATGCTGGGAATCAAAAGGAACTGAGCAATTGATTGTGGCATTCTCAGCTGACAATTTTCAGCCCAGTGATGGATCTTTCATGTTAAATTCAAAGAATGCAAAGGGTTACCTTTTCCATGTTTCTTATATATGCACACTAAATCATGATCCCACAGGAGAATCTCAACAAGAGCAGGAGGAGTACAAGAAGGAGGGGATTGAATGGACATTCATTGATTTTGGGATGGACCTGGCTGCCTGCATTGAGCTCATTGAGAAGGTATTTCCGTAATTCACAATGTCAGGTATTTTCCTGGAAGGGATCAGGATCTGCAGGAAAGGGTTCCCCAGCAGAGTCCTCTATGCTGACTTCAAACAGAGGTGAGAGCTGTGAAATGAAAAGATAAGCCAGGTGTCCTCACCAGCTGCTCTCCATCACACAACTGAGCTTTGCCAAGGTCTCTAAGAATGGAGGGATGAAATTCCAACTTCCTCAGCCTGGTTCTGCTGCAAACACTGCTTTCGTTTCAGTAAACAGAACGTTCTTATGACTGGACATTGTCTTCCTTCTGTTTCCTCCAATTCTACAGATACAAGGTGCTTAATGCCAGTGCCATCCCTGAGGGACAGTTCATCGATAGCAAGAAGGCTTCTGAGAAGCTCCTTGGGTCAATCGATGTGGACCACACCCAGTACGAATTTGGACACACCAAGGTACCAACCCCCCCCTTCACTGCCTGCCTGGGCTTTGCTCTCTCTACCTGACAGTGATGTGCTGCAACATTGCCTCTCTCAAGGTCTTCTTCAAAGCTGGGCTGATAGGGCTCTTGGAAGAGATGAGGGATGAGAAGCTGGCACAGCTCATCACCCGCACCCAGGCCAGGTGCAGGGGCTTCCTGATGAGGGTGGAGTACCAGAGAATGGTGGAGCGCAGGTACACCTTTCTCTTCTTCAGTTAAAAAGTCACTCTGCCTGGGGGGAAGCGTTGACACTCATCAGACTGAGAATAATCATTGTGCTTTTTAATTATGCCTCAGGGAATCCATCTTCTGCATCCAGTACAACATTCGTGCATTCACGAATGTCAAGCACTGGCCATGGATGAAGCTGTTCTTCAAGATCAAGCCCTTGCTGAAGAGTGCAGAGTCTGAGAAGGAGATGGCCAACATGAAGGAAGAGTTTCAGAAAACCAAGGAAGATCTTGCAAAGTCTGAGGCAAAGCGGAAGGAGCTTGAGGAGAAAATGGTATCTCTAATGAAGGAGAAAAATGACCTGCAGCTCCAAGTGCAGGCTGTGAGTTTATCACCATTCATTTCCTACTCAGAAAAAGCACCTACTCATTCTGACTGCTCTGTTTCGGGCAGAAAGTCAGGTATCCATTCTATGAAACATGCAGCTTAGAAAGTGGTGTCTTGCAGTAGCATGGTGAGCTCGCTTAAGGATAGTAAAAGAAGCAAGGGATTCCAAGTGGGTGTAAGGGCTCCTGCTTTTCTGAGAAAGTTGCCATCTATAGATATCCAAGACAGGATTGTAGCTGAACCCCTTACAGCATTGAATATTATAACAATTACAAAATCTGAGAGATATATTTGAAAGAGTAAAAAGCAACAAAAACATTTTGAACATTCCGAACTGGGAACTTGCATATCTATTTCCCAGGCAGAAAACCTGACAGCACTGTAAATCTGTTTGAATTGACGGGCTAAAAGATAAAGAAGAGAAACTTTCAAATATTATAAACAAAGAAAATCTTTGTCTACCCACCAGGAAGCAGATAGCTTGGCTGATGCTGAGGAAAGGTGTGACCAGCTCATCAAAAGCAAAATCTCCAAAGCCAAGGTACACAATTATTTTGTTGGTTCATTGACCCAGTGGAATGCAACACAATCCTTGCTCTCAGACTTCTTTAGAGTGTGTATGGTTAACTCATACCTTTCCATATGCTGAAACAGACCAACCTGGAGAAGATGTGCCGCACTCTGGAAGATCAGCTGAGTGAGATTAAGTCCAAGGAAGAAGAACATCAGCGCATGATCAATGACCTAACTGCTCAAAGAGCTCGCCTGCAGACAGAGTCAGGTGAGACTCCCACATCTACATGTGCAGATCAATAGTCTCGGAGTTATTGCAGAAATTACACTTCAGGGCATGTGGTCTTTTTAGCACACTTTGTGTCACATTTACTGTGAAATGCTCGAAATTGGATCATACATTTCATCATGGACTGAAAACTGTCTGGTTTTGCATTTTGAAATGTTTGCAGTGTCACCATGAATGGCATTAAAACTGTTGTGTATCTGCACATTTTCTCAGGTGAATATTCACGTCAGGTGGAAGAGAAGGATGCTTTGGTTTCTCAGCTGTCAAGAGGCAAACAGGCTTTCACCCAACAGATTGAGGAACTCAAGAGGCAGCTGGAGGAAGAGATAAAGGTGATTCCTCCTCTCAGAGGTGCTCCAGACACTTACATAACTATTGAACCACAACGATGAGACAGGGAAAAAAATCTCATGTAATTTGTTGCAAGTCGTTTCATGCTAACTTTTACCTAGAGTTGAACCACTATTCATTTTCTTCAGTCCCACCTTCATTCCTCATTGAGTGCATGGTTGTCTATTTGCATAGAAGCATAATCCAGTGTCCATTTAATATTCAGTCAGGTTTCCTTGAATATTTCTCTTCCATGACCCAATACCCTTGTTGGTGCAGGCCAAGAGTACCCTGGCCCACGCCCTGCAGTCCGCTCGCCACGACTGGGACTTGCTCCGGGAACAATATGAGGAGGAGCAGGAGGCCAAGGGGGAGCTGCAGAGAGCCCTGTCCAAGGCCAACAGCGAAGTGTCCCAGTGGAGAACCAAATACGAGACGGACGCGATTCAGCGCACGGAGGAGCTCGAGGAGGCCAAGTACGTGGAGGGAAAGTTAGGAAGGGTAGCAGAGATTACAACCAGAAATTCTTGGAGATCACAGTGACATTATTGGAAAGAAGTCAGTGTTCTTCTTGGGGTTGGGGTGAAAGGAGAGTAGGAAAAAAAATCTGTAATGCGTGTTGTGTAAGAATCACAGGAAAAAAATCACAGGCAAACATGTAGAAGACAGGGACTGGTAGAGAGACAGGGAAAAGCCTATCAACCACATGCCACAGCTTTCCCTTTTCTCTTAAACCATGAGATATGTTTAACACAGGAAGAAGCTGGCCCAGCGCCTGCAAGATGCAGAGGAACAAGTTGAGGCTATCAATGCCAAATGTGCCTCCCTGGAAAAGACAAAGCAGAGGCTGCAGAATGAAGTGGAGGACCTGATGATTGATGTGGAGAGATCCAATGCTGCCTGTGCTGCTCTGGATAAGAAGCAGAAGAACTTTGACAAGGTCTTTTAGCACCAGCACTCGTGGCCAGAGCATGGCCCCATGATGGCCACAGCCCTACTCCCCCCCTGTTTCTCTTCAGATCCTGGCAGAATGGAAGCAGAAGTATGAGGAAACGCAGGCTGAGCTGGAGGCCTCGCAGAAGGAGTCGCGCTCTCTCAGCACGGAGCTGTTCAAGATGAAGAATGCCTATGAGGAGTCCTTGGACCACCTGGAAACAATGAAGCGGGAGAACAAGAACCTGCAGCGTAAGTCCCTGGCCCTCTGCTCCTCCCTGGCCTTTCTCACTATCAGCCATTACCACCATTGCTCATGGGTGTGTGCCTGCAGGTGTGCAGAGATGTCTGTCACCTTGGTGGGACAGGACCCTTCCCATTCTGCTCTGTGCCTGACCATGCCATTGATCTTTGTTCCACAGAGGAGATTTCCGACCTCACAGAGCAGATTGCGGAGGGAGGAAAGGCAATTCATGAGCTGGAGAAAGTGAAGAAGCAGGTTGAGCAGGAGAAATCTGAACTGCAAGCCTCCCTGGAGGAAGCTGAGGTAAGTTTTCTGTTGTTAACTGATTACTTACAACACAGTCCAGCAACTTCAGATAGCATTTAAATAATTCTATGCACTGGGAATTTAGTGGAGGCATAGGAAGCATATTTTCTTCAGACCAGTTATATCTTTGAATACACGGGTATGCCTTTTTCTTTCCTTTCCTGCAATCTCAGACCTCTGATTATACATTGTTCTTTGAGATAACAATTAATATAACATTGTTGACATTGCTATTTTTTATAATTAACTGGATTTTATACTTTTTTCAGGCCTCCCTGGAACATGAGGAGGGGAAGATCCTGCGCCTGCAGCTTGAGCTCAACCAGGTGAAGGCTGA